GTGATTTTGTACAGTTTTGTACATAGTCAGAAACAAATTGTAAGATTCACTGTCATTTTCCCCAACGAGAAACGTTTGCTTTTCGTTTGTGACAATTGTACCATAGGGTACGTTTTATATGTATGCAAACGTTTCAATTACGTGAAAAATATTTTTTTCTGTAAATTTTCATATCAAATTCAATTAAAAACCATGTACTACATACATACATATATTTTTCTCTGCACGATTCATTTCGTTTGTTGTTTCGTCTGTAACTACTAAACTACTGTAGTGTACTATCGCAAAGTGAACTCAGCCGTTTTGTTTTCGTATTGTACCGAACTGTTGAAGTAATAAACGAAACGAAATAGTAACGTACAATATAGTTTATTTTCGTACACTGATTCCGAGAAAACACTCACCAGATACAATAAAATATGCATGTCGAAAGCGTGGCAGAGCAATGACATTAGAATGAGCAATCAGACAGAGCTTTACTCTCTGGCGCTGATATTTTTATATGTAAAAAAATGTTAATTAAATAATTAAAAAAAATTCTATTTCTCACTATCAGTAAGGACCAGAGTTCAATCAACATTTTCAAAGGTTTTTAAAAGAAACCGCAGTTCGTTCGGCGTTCCCCAGGCGCAGGCTACAGATGGAAACTAATTTTATGTACACAATGTGGAATAAAGTAGTTAACCCTGCGAGGTATAGAAATTTATTGTATTCACGGCTTTTTTATAGAAGTATTTGCATCAGGTTTAAAAAATAGAAATTATAAGTGGCAATTTTCTAAGAAAATTTTTAGTATCGAGAAAAGCAAAAAAAAATAATACTGGAGACCACCATTAACTAAAATAATAAATTTATTCATTCATTTCGCTGCAGCCGATTCTTTAATGCTTCACATTGAGCAATGACGACGACTTCTACTTCCACTCACTGCTTATTAGCTTCAATTTCACACAATCAACCACACATTACTACACTACCAAATAAAAATGAGGGAGGCAATAAAAATGGATACTTAAGTGGCTATGCAGCCTGCTGCTTTCCGACCGGTGGTAATTTTTTTACCATTATTTTGAGGTTAAGAATATCTAATGTGGGTGGCTGGTGCTTTTAACAGGAATTAACTTCATCACTTAACCACCCTATTTTTGCGCTTTTCTTACTTAACATTCACTGTGAGCTCAAGATTAATTATTCCTAATTTGTATTCATTTGTTGTAGTTATGCGTACAGTTTGTTGATTTAATTTTTCGTGGTATTCTTGAGTGCGTATGTATATTCCAAGTATGTACCTATGTACATATATAGGCTTTTAGCCAAACAAATTTGTAAGTAATTTTACTTATGTATAAGTAAATGTATACAAATAACAAAGCACTTGAATTCATGGCAGGCAATTGACCGATTGGGAGCAGGTGCATAATTACCGTTAAAGCCGGCCTAATTTCAAGTGCGAACGATGTGGGTTTAAAGTGCGGGTAGATTATTAACAAACACATTTACAATTAGGCAGAAGGCTCTTCAAATTTGCTTTCTTTTCAATTTTAATTCGACTAAAATATTTACGGTTCTTCATTTGGGAATTTCTTTTATTCATTCTGCATAAGATTGCGATTTTAGGTGGATGAGATAAAGAATTGAGTTGATAATGTGAACTCAAAATTTTACATACCGTGAAAAAGATTAGTATTTATAAATAATTTGAAAAATTTACCACACTATTCCGTGCGGCTATCGCATAATTTGACAGCTATTTTAAAAACGGGCTACCAACTGTAAAAAACCGTTGAAAATTTGCAATTAAATGCTGTTTACACAATTGGCAAATTATGACACGAACCAAAGCCGCAAACTTTCAACACAGTTAAAATACACTAACTAATAAATTTTTTCGCATATACATTCAAAGTAGAGATGCCGCTATTAAATCGAAGATCGATTAATCGATTTCTTCTAAAGTTTTTTATTTACGGATCAATCGGCGGAAAGATGGTTTTAAGTACCAACTATCCTTCTATGATCCTGTCGTCCTTTCAGAAGAAGTGCCATCTGTCCCCCCCAAAGCCTAAAAAGTCCTCCCCAAAAGCTAAAATCACCATTTTATCATTTTATTTAACATTTTGAATTTAGTTTGGATATGAAGCTCGTAAGTCACTTAAAAATAGAAGATAACGAAGAGAGGTCTGAAATTCACAACCATTTCATCAAACTGGCTCTTGAATATAATATTTAATCAATGGTTAGGTTTTTCTGTATAGTGTTGGCTAACGAAAATTTCCAAATTACCTTTAATTTTTTTACTTTCGATGAAGCTGAAGAAATTTTGCTTAGCTTAAAAGGCATTTTAGGTAATATAAACCTGGAAGAATCACACAATTTATGTGAGAAATATATGAAAATATGTTGATTTTTTTTTGGGAGCGATGACAATTCAAAGAAAATAATATTCCACCTGTTTTGCATTGCATGCAGTAGTGCATTTGCCGAAGAGCTTTTTTAATCATGAATGCAACGTCCAGTGTGAAAAAAGGACGGTGCTCGCCAGAGAACTGTGCAGAATTATAAAAAGTTTTTAAAAATCGATTAAAGCGGCGAAAAGCACAGAAAAGTACTCATTTAAATATTAAATGGCCTCAATCATATAATATATGTATAAACAAACTCACATACATACATACATACATATCAGGGATTGGCAAAGGGTGCTGTTTTTGTGACTTTAAGCCTACTCACGTTAAAAACGGAGGGTGAACGAACACCACCGCAAAGCGTGCTGTCTTGCAAATACAGCCACCACAAGTGAACGATGCTTATAACAGCTCATACTAATATTGACTTCGGCAAATCTGTACTCCGAATGATCGTGCACGAAACCAGCAACCGCCGTATTTGATCGACTGCCAAAAGCACGATACTGCTTTGGACGGTTGCCGAAAGCATGAGAGCTTATGTGAAAGACTGGCGAAGGCAAGATGCCGCAGTTATCTAACTTGATTTGTTGCAGAAGTCAAACCGCCGCCTTTGGTTTGTTGCTGAAGGCGCGTTTGACGTGTTGCCGAAGTGATGATACTGTAGTTCAAAAACATTCAAAGACACTTGCTTGTTTGAAATGAAGCATTGATATGTACATACATACATACTTACGTATGCACATTCCTCACAACTAGCCAGCAGTGAGCAATGCAATCGAATGGTAGACGCGCTATAAATACATACATACATGCATACGAGACGATAAATTACCCTTTACCACATTCGTCGTCTTTTCAGCAACAAGTCAGATGATTTTCAGCAACAAGTCAAACGACTTCTGCAACAAATGATGACTCTCATGTTTTCGGAGCCGTTCAACTGCCACGTTTGCTGGTTTCGTGCACGATCATTCAGAGTACAGATTTGCCGAAGTCAATATCAGTATGAGCAGTTATAAGCATCGTTCACTTGTGGTGGCTGTATTTGCAAGACAGCACGCAATGCGCTCGTGTTCAGTCATCCTCTAATTTCGTTTAGGTATCGATACTACTAAGCCAACGCGGCTGCTCAGTCATACAAAGCAGCGGTATTGAATGAGTATGAACAGTTGACGATCAACCAATGCCAATCCCTGATACATATGTACTATCTTTCAAAGATATATCATTTACATATGTATGTGCCTACGTTTGGTTTTTACTTCATTGAAATGTTTTTTGCTACATTCATATGTTGGCTTCTTTTGATTTTTTTTTAATTAAATGAATTTTATAAAATACATAAAAGGCCTTTTCCCCAAACGAATATGGCGCCCTTCTGAAGCAAAGGCGTCTTCATACAAAGTCCTTCTTAAAAGCCATTATTTTTACTCCCTTTTGCATTTTAAAAGTTGGTAAGCTTAGCTCGAAATAGTGACATTGATACTCTACTCCACTGTCACTCATACGCTGTGGCATGCAGTTCAGTAACCAAGAAGTATTGATCTGGTTATAGTATGTCGGTTTAGCACGGATTAACATATTTATATGTATGTATAGGATATATTTTGAAAAAAAGTTGTCACCTTTTTCAATAGTTAAAATCAATTAATAAGTGAAATAAAATATTGCAACAACGTGTGTGTCAAACGAAACGGGTTTTAAAAATTTGAAACTCAAAAATATTTTCTAGCGGGGCTTGCCACCTGTTGTAACTTAAAATCAAATAAACACACACACAATAAAGTACACATCTTCATGTTTAACAACATTTTTAAGCTTAAAACTCCCTTATTAAATGCACATAAGCAGGAACATATTACTCTTCGATTCGAAAGAACGCCCTCTTACCATCAGGTATTGCTGATTAAAAAAAAAATATAATATTACAAATTTTTCTTTAAACGCTGCTGTGATTACGATGCCGCTGTTGGTGAGATTGAGAAATTGCTTCGCTGCGTCATTTATATTTACGTGCGTGCGTGCGTGCGTGGGTGTTGCGCAAACTTTTTTAATATATTGTACAACCAGCAATGGCTTGTTTTGGTCGACGCCAGCTTGCCACGATGCCAGAATGGCAACAAACAACATCCCATAACTTCAGCTGAACTGAAATTTGTTCAAATTTTTTTATTTGTTTGTTGGCTTGGTAGCACATGGATTTTTTCACTCAAATGATTTTTAATATTTACGTACGTAGCTTTGTAGGGACCACGCGCAGTGGCAACGTAAGTAAGTTATGCAATATAAGTGCATACAAAAGCAAATGGTTATGTAAGCTATAAAAGCACTAAAAGTATAACTTATTATTATTTTTTTTTTTAATTAAAAGCGCATTTACAATATTTAAGTAATAAGTTTATACAGGGTTAATGTTGCTTAATATTATATCTAGGCTTCGAAAAATTACAAGTGTCTATATCTGTCTCGATTCCTTCACAACGTTGACATACAAGCTTACAATAATCGAAAACTAATTTGGTTTGTGCTCTTTGAGTCGATCTTTTTTGAATCTTTTAATTTTGTAGTTAGTAAATTAATTTTGTAACTCACCGTAGTTGTTGCTGGTGTTGTAGCTGTATGTGGTGTATAGGCTGCGTATGCCGGTTGCGGCAATGGAGCTGTATATCTGTAGGCTTGTTGGGCGACAGCAGCAGCCGCTGCAGCGGCAGCTGGAGCGTAACCTTGTGGAGTCCAACTGGCACCGCGATACGGAGCACCTGCTAAGCCGCCTGCTGCTGCTGGACTAGTCATAGCTGGCCTGGGGGGCCCCCTTTAAAGCGACCGCAGAAGTTGGTGGTGGTGCACCAGGAAAGGCGGTACGCGGTGGTGGTACTGTGGAAGAACTTCCCTGCAATTAGAGAAAACAAAAATTGGGGAATAAGTAACTTTTTTTTTAGTTTGTAGAAAAGGAAATTTTATGTAAAAAAGCGATGGAAAAATAGTTTAAATATGAATGTGGTAGATTTGAAAGATTATATGGGAAGAATAGTAGATTTTTCTGCTGGCCTGAAGCCGAACTAAATTAAGCAAATTTAAAAAAATTCTATATAGAGTATCTCAGACTTTATTTATCGATACTAATACGAGGAATAAGTTGAAGCAGAAAGAACTCTGGTGTTGGTATCTTAACATGTCGAGGACGCAGAAGCTCATCCTGGTCAAGGCCTCAAGGGAAAATCACCCAATCGCTCCAGAAGTATCAGCTAGAACGCCATCATATTAAGAGGCCTGAAAATCTTAAGTCTACTGTAGTCATGCGTTATAACTTTAGGCATAAATATGCTGCTCTTGCCTTTTTAAAATAACACATTTGTATGCATACATACGTGAGTTTTCGTACGAACACCCAAAAAGCGTACTCTTCCTGGCCAACATGGACAGCCCACGGCCGAGATGCGGTAACCAATCCGTATATCCGTGGTTGTGTCTATTCGTGGTTTTGCATAGGACTCATGCCTATTGTAAGCGGATGGCCAGGCACCGACTCTAAATTAGATCCCAACCAGGATGGGTGCTCTCGTGCAAGGCTGGGAACTCACGGAATGGTTGCGGGTGGATTTTCACTCATGTGGACGGGGCTCCATTGTAGAACTTATATTTTTTATTTGAAATATATGTATGCATATATATGTATATATGAAGGTATAGATTTCTTGAAAGTCATTAATTTTCTATCGGATTAATCTATGTATTTCTCTTCAGCAGTTTTGCAATAATAATACTCATTTGTTTATTATACTGTTTTTTAATACTAAACATTTTTTTTTGGGTCCTCCATTGCATTTTCGGAATTTTTGGGGGACCAATAAGAAATTGTTGATTTTAAAAATGTGTTAAATAAACAATTATTACTATTGGAAGTCTCTTACAGAGAAACAAAGTTTTCCGGGCGAAACATATTGATTTTCAGAAATTCTATAACATTTCTTTGAATAATTTCGTTTTTTTTCCAGGTAAAATACATGGAAAACTTTGAGCGCTTTCAGCGACCTCTAAATATTTTTTTAAATTCAAAATAAAAAAAAACAGGGCTATATTTTTTTCGGTAAAGATTAATCCGAGAAGCTGAGAGTATTCAAATTCCGACATTAGTATTTTATTGGACCACCCTATTGTACATTCGTTTATGCTTTTTAATATAATAATTTCGTTTTGGAGGAGTGAAAGAATTGCAGTGACGTTGGTTGATTATTTCGTTGTAAACTACTTCCAAATGACATCAGTTTTAGTGGCCTTCACAATGATAGCCGTCGTGTTGAAGCTACCAATAATTAAGTTAAAAGTGAACTAATTCACATAGTTTTTGCACTTAACGTGTATTAATCCTCATTGCTCTTCAATACACATTTTTCTTATTTTGAAAGTATTCATTACTATGCTTAGGTAAGAGCAGACCCAAGCGCAAACATATTTACTTACACTTGGGGGTATTTTATGAGTAAGTCTACGTTTGTGTTCAATTTACAAACTTATTATTATTTTTTTTTTTGAAGTGGTGAACAAATGCCTCGATCCTCCTTCGCCCCAAAGCACCAATATTGCATTGAGCTAAATTAAGCATTTCAATTATATTACGGGGTGAAATAACTACGACTCGTCATGTCCAACCCGTAACGAAAAAGTGCAAAACTTCGTATTTCATGGCAACTTAACTTAACTTAACGTAACTTAGAACTTATAAAATCAAAATGAAACAGACTTCGACGTGGCATTAAGTTACTTTAAGTTTCGCACGTTCAAATGTAAGCAATATTCATTTAAGACAATTTTTAAGTGATAGCCTCTAAGTTACGTTAAGTTGTCCTAGTCAGACCTTAAGTTACTACTTAAGCGATTTTAAAATTTCATTACTAGTTTATATTTTCCCTATATAGCCCTATATCATATCTATATATATAATACGCGAAGGTATTTTTTGTTCAGGATAAAAGATCTGCACCGTTCGCTCGATTTTCAAAAATGGGGTGTTAAATAAAAAGGCTTGGACTGCTGATATGCAATAAGGTTTTACTTTTTTGAAAAAGTTGCCACCTTTAAAAAATGATATTCAAATTATCTAAAAAAAATTAGATATTACAAAATGGGTATCAATGAAAATGGTTTTGGAAATATTTTTTTCTTAACATAACTGAAGGAGGGTTGCCACCTGTTTAAAAAATCAAATTAAGTTTTAATTAAGGAAATTATATAGGAAACAATTGTTCAAACATATTTGTGCCAAACGAAAGGGGGCTCAGAAAGTAGCGGTTTGAAAATATTTTTAATTGGGTTGCCACCTGCTTGAAATGTCGAATTTATTTAACGTATCCAAAAGTTATATGAAATGTCAAAATTTGGATGTCAAAAGAAAGAGTGTTAAGAAGTCTTTAGTTTAAACATTAAGAATATTTTTGAGGTGTTGGAAGACGGTTGTCAACTATCTAAAAATTTATTTCAAATTATCAAATGAATTATTCAAATAAGGGTATCAATCGAATGGGTTTGAAAAATCTTTATTTCTGAACTATATTTAGCGGGGTTGCCACATGTTTAAAAAATAAAATTCAACTAATTCATCAGTTAATAGAATATGTATCGCAAGAGGAAGAATATTTAAGAATATCTTAGCGCGAAACTACTTTTGAAGAGGGGTGCCACCTATTTAAAAAGTCAAATTTAATTAACTTTTAAGCAAGTTATTTGAAATATGAAGCGAAAGGGTGTTAGAAAACTTGAGTTTGAACATTTAGAATGTTTGAAGAAGGTTGCCACGTGTTTATAAAGTGGCATTCAAATTATTTAAGAAGTTGGACGAATTATTAAAAGATGGGTGTCAATCGTAATGGAGTTGAAAAGGCTACACTGAGGGAAATAATGCATAGTAAAAATGAATACTTTATATTTGATTGTCGTTTAAAAATGTTCGTATTTAAAAATAATATTTTCATACAAAATTTATTACGCACGTATTTGACTGTTCACATCTGAGTATGTATATGTAAGTATACATACGCACCCCAAGCATGCAGAGCGCCGCACTGAGAGCGGTGACAAAACACACATACACACATAGCAAGAATGGTAGAATGAGAGTAGAATTCTCAAGAATTTCTGTCAATCGTGCATACATAGTACATACATATTTATCCGGACAAATCGCGTTCTGTGGTGTTGATGGATATTCAACATTTGAAAGCAAATTTATATGGCTGGGTGTAGCTGAGTGCGCAAAGATGCTTGCCACAAGTTGTTGGTATCCGGAGATGGTCGGGTTCGAATTCCGCTGCAGGCAACATGCAAATAAATTTTTTTTTTTAGTTTTTTCTTGATTATTCACTTCTCGGATGCTTTTTCAGTACGAGCGCGGTCATTTTAATATGCGCGTAATTGAATTGGATATTTACCAATATACAGTACTTTCGTTGACGTTTATTGTAAGATCAATTACGTTTCTATTTGATTTTAATATTTTTTCCCTCAGTGTATATTTCTAAAATATATTTTTTGGAGGGTTGCCACGTATTCTATAAGCTGGATTCAAATTATGTAATTGTTGTTGACTGAATTTTTAAAGGATGGATATCAATCGAAAAGGGGTTAAAAAGGCTTTGAGGTAGGTTTTGAAATTCACTTCAAAGTGAATTTAAACCAAATGCGCTTCGAACTCAAATTAAACATTGTAGAAACTTACTCGAAAATAAATTGTATAACCTGAAAAATAAAAACCTTACCTTTTTTGAAATTAGAAACTTTTTATCGGTACAGGGTCATTTAAAATTTGATGATATTAAAAGCCTACTATGCGAAACGGCTGCACGGATTTAGAAGAAGTATGACACTCGAATCGCTTATAACTTACTAATATTTGGAATTGTTTGTAGGTTTTTGAAATTCTATGTTGAGCGTTTTAACGACGTGCGGGTTCACTAGTTTCTATCATTAGTGCTCAATTAAAAAATTTTGAAGCGTTTTATCGTCTCCCGGCCGTGACATTGACTCCTAAAATTTGTCTCTAACAGTGCATCCTTACAATAAAGAAACCTTTAGACTTTGCTGTTTTTGTTTGTAGTTAAAAAGCTCAAAAAACCTTGCTAAATAAAAAGAGAAACAGTTAAACATCTTTGGAATATAGGACGACTAATATTTTTTGCAATTTCCGATGGCACAATGACTATTTCTGGGCTAAACAATGTAACCAGTTCAGGTTCTAGATAGATTTTGTCTAGTACGCTTGTGTTGGCAGCACCAAGACAGTATCTGCCATCCTTAAAAAGGTAACCTTCACGGGCACAGGATAGGTTGACTTGAATCTGCTTAGAGATGCACTGGCTACATAATAATAGCTCCTTTTGAGATAATCGCTTTTGGTGTTGGGAAGATTTCCTTAACTGTGATACTTTTTAGCAGTGCCTGGAATGGCTCTATCCTAAAAAATCCTACATACCTGGAGTAGTAAGCCAATGATGTTGCTGGCAAGTTTTTCCTGAAAAGGGGTTTTATTGATACCGCCATGACTTGCCAGTCACAGCCATGCAATAACGACTAACATTAAACAAATTTTTTCCTAACAGCAGTCGTCCATTGACATGACAAACCTCGGAGTATATTCGGCATGAAAAACAGCTTCTTACGAAAATGCAATCGTAGTTCGGAGTCGGCGTAAAATTATTATTATTAATTTAGACAAAAATGATAAGTAACTTCATAGACTTTCCGTCAAATATATCTGAGTAGAGTTTTTTTTTGTCCTAGGGGTAACTGTGCCTTAGATGGTCCCA